TGTGACACATTCATTAGAGTTGATTGTTGTTAAGCTTTGGTTAATAACAAGTATCAGAGAAAGTAATATTGTATTATCTTCTTCCAGAGAAAATGCTCATAGACCTACAGAACTGTTTTCTATTCCTAACAGAACTTTGTGGAATCTTAGAGATGTCCTGCATTTGTGCTGCTAATCCACTTGCCAGTTTAGCACATGAGTGGCAAACTATACTTAAAATGTAGCTAAGGTGACCAAAGAACTGAAGTTTCAGTTTCATTTCATTTAGTTAAATTAAAACTTAAAGTGACAAATCGCTATGGAATAACATAGCTCTGCAGATCTCCACGTGAATGGACAACTTGTTTTTCAAGGCAGCTGAGGGTAATTAATGGATGACAATCACAAAGAACAAGTTAGACAAGCTGTAAATTCTTTGGAAAGTACATACAGAGATTCTTAGCCTTCCTAACTGGTTGAATGTACTAGGTTTGAGTGAGATTATAACTTGGGAAATTAGGGAAGAGACTGATGCCTGGCAGGTGAGCAAAGAAACCTATCTCCAAAACTAAACTTCATGTACAATCTCTTCTTGCATTGCCGAATTTATACTGTTATTACTAAATTATCCCTCCAAAGTGGATTTTGCAGTTAGCACGGCACTTCATGTTCAATATCTTGTTTGATTTTCACAATGATATGGTGACTTAGCAGGACAGCAATTATTTATACAGGAACCCTAAACGGGACCCTTAGCAGAATTCACACAGAGAAAATCTCTGTTTTAAGGTTATGGAGTTTATCCCCAATCCCTACTCTGCTCTGGATTACCTGAGCTAAGAATTGTAGAGATGATTAAATAGAAGAAAAGCAGAGCCAATGAAGAAGGAGCAAGCACAGTTCTTTCAAACTCCACTACGTTCCAGGAACTTTACTAGGCCATGAGAACCCAGCAGTGAGAAATACTGGCAAACCCCTTGGCATCTGTCCAGTGAGAAAAGAACTCTACTGTCAAATGCTCAAAGGACTCCTAATCTGATCAAGGCAAAGCTTACGTTCATGCTCTGTCTCCCCAGCAGGGAGTCATTTGCCTTAAAGCATAAATGAACTGGGACAAACTTCTGAAAGAAATTTTCTACTACATTTTGCAGGTTAGCGTCAGATAAAATTATAGCCTTTAAGGACTTGAAAGGACCAAGAGCTGCAGTATACATGATAATCTGAAGCCCTGAAGCAAATCAATGCCAGCACATATGGGGAAATTCAGATCCATATTACCCTAGGACAGTGATTCTCAAGGTTTAATAGGCATAAGATTTGTCTAGGTACAAATTTCCTGCTACTAATCATGCCCTGAGTTGGTGAAATAGGGCCTCGAAATCCATAGTTTTATTAAACTACCAAGTGATGCTAATGTCGGTGGCCTGTTGCCATAGTTGGATGGAGTTTTCTTTTCTTTTTTAAAAATATTTAAGACTTCCTTCACTGAAAAGTGAGGGACCTGGTGGAAGTTGGCTCCACTTCGGAGCCAGGGAAGATCAGAAAACTTGTGGCTAGAAGAGTGCATAGAACCAGGAATTCTATTTGATTTCCTTAAACAAGAGACATTTATATGGGGTTACCCAGGGGACAAATATGATCTTCTGGTCTGGAGCTCAGAGGAGACAGTAACCAATCAGAGTTTCTGGCATGAAGATGACAGCTAAAGTCATAGATGGTGCAATCACGTAAAATGAAAGTGTAGCTGAGAAGGACATCAGGAACCATCTCCTGAAATCCGCTGCAGTCAGAGGCCATTTAGAGAAGAAAGAACGTACAAGACGGGCTGAAAGAAGTTGCTGTTAAATTAGAAGAAAAATCAAGGAAGTACCATGTTGAGGAAAGTTAATGTAGGCAGTATTTCAAGAAAGAAATAACAGGACAGGTAAACCGTAAGAGGACAGGTAAGAATATTGTTTCCAAAGTTGATCAAAGTTAAAAATCAAACAGAAGATGGGGAGATATATTTAAAAATTGTATAAAAAACGAATAATATATGGAAAATATCATGAAGAACACCCAGAAATTAATAATAAAAGTACAACAGAATTGTTAGAAAACAGACTGGACAGAAGAAGATGCAGCTCAAATAAGGATAAATATGAATAGTCAAGAACCGTGTAAAAGAGGCTCAACCTGAGTCCCAGCATCTGGGACAGATGAAGTGAAGGAATGTTTTTAAGTTAACAAATACTAACGAGTTAATAATGTTTGTTATTAGTGAGGGGAAGGAGTAAAGAGTACTCCCAAATCCTCTCAACACGAATGCAAAATTACAGCAATATTCTAGGAGGTTAATTTTATGGAGAGCATAAAAATCCTAAATGGGTACCCATGTTAATAAAGCAACTTCACTTCTGGTAGTTATCTCAAAGAAATACTGGCACATGCACAAAGAAATGTGCTCAAGGGCATTAAAAATAGTACAGTGTATGATAGCAAGGAATTGCAGACACCTACAAGCCCACTAATGAGATATAATTAAATGTATTTTGGCTTATATTTTTAGTACACAAGATTATAGAACAGCTTTAAAGGAATGAGTTATATCTATATGTTCTGCAGTGAAAATATGTCCAAAATGAGACAGAAAAGTACACACACCATGGTCATCCTATTTATGTAACAGAACAAAGACACATGACCATGTGTGTTTTTAGAAAGGTTCATAAATTCAGTGAAGAGATCAGCAAACTAATAGCAGTTGTTCTCTAAGAAAATGGTATGATTAGCAAGTTAAAGATCATTTTGATTTTCACTGTTTTGTTTTTATATTTCTTGAATTTATCTGAATTTGTTATTCATCTGAATTTGTGAGATCTTCAAGAAAAATTCAAAATTTTCTTAAGTTGTATTAAATCAAAACAACTGACATGCAGAAATTAATTTACAATATGTTCATTTATTCATCAAGAGTTTAAACCCATATTATATGTATGTATACACGTGTATATATATATATATATATATATATATAAATCAGATAGACAGATCAAGGAATCTAGTAGACTGAATTCTTGTCTTTTTAAAATTTATCTTGTAGTGGATTCAGATTTGAAATAGTCTTTTAAAGAGGCTACTCTTTCCCTTAGAGATTTCTCATCCTCACATAATACTACTGCAAGCAACTTCTTTTCATAACCTCATAAAGAAGTGCAAAGAATGAAATATCGAGAAAATATCCATCAGACTCTCTAGAGCACTGTAACCCTGTTTCTCAGATTACCAAAAGCAGAAGGAAAACAATAATAGTATTAGTAAAAAAGGCTTTCTTGGGCTGCCCCAGAAACTTGAAAATTCTATGATGGTGTCTGTAGGAAAAAGCCACCTTCTGCTAAATAACTGACTTCTAAAAGTACTCTAGAGTGTTCACTGTCAGTTGTAGCCAGTCTGTACTAAGGCAACTGTGAGTGTAAATAGCTAAAAACTCACTGGCATCCACACAGAAGTTCTCGTACACATACTTTGTGGTCGGATTTTTCTATGACACTCACTAAGACATAATAATTAATAGAGAATGTCAGTCTCCAGGAGTAGAGCCTTTGAGGCCCTTCCACCAGCTGGAACCTCCACACCATGCCAGGCTTTAGCTACAAGTCTGCTCACACTGGAAGCTGCAAATTGGACGCATGTTTCTGAGCAGCCTCTGAAACACAGCGTTTATATTCCACAGCAAGTCCTGTTTTCTCCTCTTCATCTCACACTCATACAATTTTCAGCTGCTGGAACAAGTGAACACGGTCCTCATCATAAAAAGTAAGCGATTATTTCTAAGGAGGAACTACTCTTTAGCACACACATATATATATATATATCGAGGCAAAATAATTGTCATTGATAATTCATCTTTGCTGCAAGATGAACATACGTATTACACATGGCTTGTCACAAGTGAGGATAATTCTAGCCCAGGGGAGCCAGAATTTCTCAGGATTTGGAAAAAGGCACCATAACTGGACACTGGGTAATCAACTCTGAAGTCACTGCCACCTCTACCAACCTGTGTGACCTTGGGTAAATCACTTGACCACTCTGTGCTCTCTCATGTTCCATTTCTTCTTCATGGTAAACTACCTGCTATCTTCCTATCTTGAATATCTCCTTATTTTAAATTCTTAGGGAATGCTATTTTATGAAGCCATCCTTGAGTTTCTTGGGCCAAGTAAGCTTCCTTCATATTCATAATCCTATTTTAAGTTGCCTGTACCTCTATTGTATTATTTATCATATGGAATTATTATGGCATATTTATTATCCTGTTTATTTTAGTTAATCATATTACTTCAGGTTTTCAGGTAAATTACAATTATTATTGGCCCTGCTAATATTAATAAAATTATTTGTAATGTTAGGAGAACTATGTGTTAGGTCTTATAAATATATTATTTCTAACTGTCATAGAAACTATGAGAATGGTAATATCACTTTTATTATTTTTAGAATGGTAGTATCATTATCATTTTTATAGTTGAGGAAAACACATGGAGAAGAGATTATGCCGATCGTTAGGTGGGGTCCTGAGAATCATGATAAAGTCTATACTACTTTAAAACAATGCTTTAAATCATTACCCTAAAATAGTACCTTAAATAACAATAGGTGACATTTATTCTGTCCTTACTGTATGCCATCCTCAATGCTACATTCTGTACACATCTTAGCTAACTTGACCTTTGTAAAAATCCCGTGATACAGTTTTAGTGATTATAATACCATTTTTAAAAATGCAATTAAGGCTCAGAATGGTTGAATGACCTGCCCAAGGTAACAGAACCATGGAGAGTGGATTTTAATGCATATTGGTTTCTTTTAGAAACTGTACCCTTACCCCCCATTTTATTCCTTGGTAGAATCATCTCTAATTTTTGCAAGTACCATTCAGATTTTCAGGAATAAATAATGCCCCTGGAACCAGAAACCTGGAGCAGTACCTCTTCTGAATGACACAAAGGAACCAGTGAATTCACTCCCTGAACACTCACCTTAGCACATGTGTGGATCCATTAATGGTGGTGGTGGAACAGGGGACAGTCTGGCCCAGAATGGAAGGTCTTCGGTAGCGTTCATCATCACAGCACAGGATGATAAGGAAGGCACGTCTAAAAGACTTATTCAAGAAGGCGTAGAGAAAGGGGTTCAACCCAGAATTTATATAGCCAAGCCAGAGAAAAGCAGTCCACAGCTGCCCAGGGACGGTGTAGTCTATGAAAGGATCCACGATGTTGGTGACGAAGAAGGGAGCCCAGCAGAGGCAGAAGCAGCCCATGATGATGCACAGGGTCTTGGCCGCTTTGGTCTCCGTCCTCATCCGGTGAGTGCTGTGCTGGTCGGCCGGCTGGGGCCTGCCCTCAGCAGGGGCACCTGCCCGCTGTAACACCTGGATCTGGCGGGCATGCTCCTTGGCGGTGACATAGATGCGGTAATAGGCCAGAACCATGAGCAGAAACGGGATGTAGAAAGCCACCACCGAGCAGGTGATGGCGTAGGGCTTGTTGACCATGAAGACACAGTAGGTGGAGTTGGAGTTCTGGTTGAATTTCCTTTTTTCTATCTGAGAGTTGGAGGGAGAAAGAAAAGGAGGAAGGGAGGGGGGAGAAAGCAGTAGAAGAAAAATGAGAGAAAAGAAAATGTGAAAAGAAGAAGAAGACACAAATAAGGGAAGGAAAGAGGGAAGGAAAAGAAAAAGCACAAAAGGAAAACAGAGAAGACATCAGCAAATCTTTGTTTTTCTTACAATCCTTAGATCATAGAGTTTGATGACAGAAAAACAACATGAATCAGTCCCAAGGTTCAGAAAACCACATAGAGTAAGAGGGGCAGAGGGTCTCAGAATGAGGAGGAATGAAATGGAGATAACCACCCTTCATTCCACTCTCCGCCCCGCCCCAGTGGTGGAACTCTGCCTCCCTCTCCCCACCTTGTCGGCTTGCATTTGTTGTATCTGAGTCCCACATCTTAACAGGTCATTTTCACAGGAGGTCAGTGGGCCAGTAACATCCGAACCACGCGTGGTGCCTACTGCAAATACAGAATGCCAGGCCCTCACACAGCTCTTGAATCTAAACCTTTGGACAGTGAGTCTTAGATTTGTGTGTTACAAGCAAGTTGGTTAGTTGGCTGGTTGGTTTAGTTAGCACTATAGTTCAGGATGACCTTGTATTCACTATGTAACCCAAGTGGACCTTAGACTTGGGGTGATCCTCCTGCTTCAGCTTCCTGAATGTTGGGATTATTGTGTCTGGCTAGTTGATTTTAAAAAATTTTAAGTTTATTAATATTTGTGAACTTTGGCTCTAAGTAATTCTAAACCCCTATCTGTGGAGGATGTGAAGACACCTTCCCAGACTCCTTCTATGCTAATTGAGCATCTTGATGAACGTTTTTCTCATTCAGATTATATACTATTCAAAATGTTAATATACAGTAATGGTCTTAGAGCCTTAGGTTTTGAGACAAAGAAAAAATAGATAGTTTAGAATCATAAGGGACTAGAATACAGTATTCTCCCCTTATCTCTGGTTTTAGTCTTCAAGGCTTTAGTTACCAATAATTACCTTCAGTTACCGATAGTCCAGTGGAGTTAAAAAATTCCAGAAATAAATGGCTCAACAGTTTTAAATTGCACATCATTCTGAGTAGCGTGATGAATTTCACATTATGCTGCTCTGCCCACCCAGGGTGTGAGTCATTCCTTTGCTAGCAAGCTGTACTCGTCAGTTATTTAGGAGCCACTTTGGCTGCCCAGTTGGCTATGCTGGTATCCCAGGACTTGCCCAATTGACTTCATAAAGGCCTAAAGTGCGAGAAGAGTGACACTGGCAAGATTATCACAGTATATAGCTGTAATTTTTCAATTTTATCGTCATTGTTGCCAATCTCTTATTGTGCCTAATTTATAAGTTGTACTTCAGAGATTTCTTTGTCTAGTGGAACTGGGGAATGAACACGGAGCCTTAATACTGAAGTACGTTCCCAGGTCTTTTTACTGATTTATTTATTTTTTTTAAATCCTGAAACAGGATCTCACTAAGCCACTTAACTGCAGTCCTACTGCATCAGCTTCCAGAGTGCTGGGATTACAGGTGTGTGCCACTGTGCCCACCTAGAAATAGTTAATCACAGGTAAGTATGCACAGAGAAAACATATGCAAAAAGTTTGGTATTATTTGTAATTTTGAGCATCCACCAGGACCTTGTATCTTCCAAGAGTAACAATATGTGTGTGTGTGTGTGTGTGTGTGTGTGTGTGTGTATGTATACTGAGTAGCTCAGAGTCCTTTTATAGACATATATATATATATATAGACTGAGTAGTTTAGGGCCCTTAGAGAACTTGGAATCCAACCAGAGTTGAGTCCTAAGTATCACTGCATCTCATTCTCTCCTGAACCCACTCCATTTAGGGATTCCACCCAACCTCTTCATTAAAACTTCTCTGGTCAAAGTTATTAATGATCCCTATTGTGGCCAAGTCCAGCCTTCATTTTAAATAAGTTCTCTATTCTTTTGACCTATCTGAGCACTCCATCCTTTTTGACTTGAAATAAAGTGCTCATAAAATACTTACGAAGTATGTACATACTGAATGAACACACAGATGGGTGAATTATTATAAAGTAAAGATACCTGTGTAGCTATTATTCAAACACAACTAGAAAATATTGCTAGCATCCCAAAGCCACTCAATTATCCCTCTAAGTGACTGTTATGCCCAAATGTCATCACTAATCTTTTCTATTTTTGTATCAGGAACTGAACTCAGGACCAATGTGAATGGACACATGAATAATGACATGGAAAAACTATAGAATTATAGATGATGTACACAGAAAAATTCAATTTTATTTCTTGTATAGATATTTAGTATCTTAAGTCACATGGTATAAGGTTACCTTATAGTTTCCCATCGATATTTCTGTTATGAAATATCTGTATATCAAAATATATTACTTGCTTTCAATTTTATTGTATCACATAATAGTAGAGTTATTTCAGCTATTTTTCACTAATACCTATTTGACAGAGATTTTCATTATTTTATTTTTAACTTTCTGTCATTTTGTATGTAATCTCTTCAAGCAGCACATATTTGCATTTTGTTTTGATTCCTTCCAGCAATCTTTATCTATTTATAGTGGCTTGTCTTTGAAGAATTTATTTATTTAATATTTACAGCAATCATCACTTGATTTACATTTGTGCCTATTTTCTGTTTTTTATTTGTCTCTTATGAGTTTCCTCCCTAATTATTTATTTTCAGAATAATCAATTTTTAATATTATATTATTTCTCCATCTATGACCTTGTTGGTCATATATTCCTGACTATATTTAGAGATTAAAACTTAACTCAGTCTCTTTAATAATTTACCACTTCCTTGGCAATGCAAACATTTTCTATGCCTTAAGTCTATCCACCCCATTTCTTCCTTGTATGCTGTTTTAAATGTATTTTATTCTATGTGTTTAAAAACAGATAAAACACTAGTATTAATGGTAGATGAGGAGTCAATATTCTTTTATCTTACTTATATATTTACCATTTCCAGTATTCTGCCTTTTTTTCTGCTATATGATACTTTCATTTAGGATCATTTGAGGGAGCTTGAAAACTCTTCCTTAAAGAAACACTTTAAGGCTGCTGAAAATACTGCTGAAATTTCCCCTCACTTTTTGTTTGCCTAAAAATGCCTTTAGTTCACCTTCATGCTTGAAACATACTTTAACTGGATACAGATCGCTAAGCAGTAGGTTCTTGTCCTCATTTTAAAGATGCTATTCCACTGTCTGCTAACTTCTGTCATTTCATTGCAGGGTAAGTCTTGGCTGTAAGTCTTGGCTTCCCCTTAAAAGTTATTGATATTTGTTCATTAATTGCTTCTTGGATTTATTTCTTGGTCTTCCCTTTTAAGCATTTGAAAAATGAATCCACCCCACCAACTTAACCTGCTGGAATTTCATAAAATTTCTTCAATCTGTGACTGATGGCTTTCAGTAAGTGTTTTTTTTTCAGCTTGTCTAATCTATTACTAAATTCACCCATTATGCTTACTTTATTTCCTATATTTATTAGCTCCAAAACCTTTTTGGGAAATGTTAGTTCACTAATAAAGCTTTTGTGTTTTCCATTTTCCTTTTAATTACCTGAAGAAGTTATTTGAAAGCCCTTGTATAATAATTCCATTATCTAGATGGCCAATGAGACTTTCCGTTGCCTGTTTATGCTCTTTGTCCTATGTATCCATTGTCTGATGAGTTTCGATTAAATAACAGGTATTATGAGCCAAAATTACATGTGCTGTGCATGGTAGTGTCCTAGCCAGAAGGACTTTATATTGTTCTGGTTAGGCAGATGGAATCTGGAAATAACACCTCAATCATGTTTAGGTTGTGTTTACCATATTTCTTTTTTTTTTTTTTTTTTTGTCTTTTTCCTTTTTATTGGTACCGGGGATTGAACTCACAACGGCCTGCTTGCAAGGCAGGCACTTATGTCGCTGAGCTAAATCCCCAGCCCCCGTGTTTACCATATTTCAAAGTACTTTTCCTATAGAACAGTTTCTCAAGTGTCTTCCTTAGAGCTCCAAGAATGCTTGACGAAGCCCTCTGCGTTAACAAGTCACATTAATTACTTTATGCTTTTCCAGAACTAGGAGACTGTTAAAGTCACTGTCAAGTCTTCTGCCATTCAGCAATTGCTTCCAGTTCAGTTGCTTGATTGCTTTTGTTTTTCTGTCCCTAGTCCGATACAAATTCTTCAGGAAAAAAATTGTGTTGAATTGTAATTTCATATCTTTAAAGTTTCCATATCTCTGGGAACTCAGTCACTCAAATTTCAGGCATCCTGGCATTCTCAGCCTCCAAAGTGTTCTTGCTGCTAAGTAGATCTTCATTTCGTAAGCACTTTGTCTTGTGTATCTGCTCGAATTCCCTATGCTATTCATTTGGGTCACATGGCTTAATTTTCTGAGAATACCTTAGCTTGATTTCCTGTAGTCTTCAGGACTTAATAATATCCAAGCTACTTACTGACTGCTCCATTTTCATGTTTAGTAGGAACCTCAAATTTATATTGTCCAAACCACAGGATTGATTCGCCCACCCCACAAACTCTTATTCTATCTGTGGAACTTCCCGGCTATACTTAGTTATTATTTTTAATTTTCTAGTTGCTTTAACCTAAATCTTCAGTCGAATTTGGTCCAGGAGTTTTTCACAGCACTCTTACAATATTTCAGAAAATCTCAATTAAATTTTCAAAATATATCAGGATTATAAAACATAACTCCATTGCTACCTGTACTATAACACTATTATCTCTTAATTGTCAGATTACTCATCCAGCTCTTCATATACTTTTCTACAGGGAATAAAAGGGTTTTTTTCAAATATAATTCCAGTCATATTACTATCTTTTAGTGTTCTGCAGTACTTCCCTATTATGGCTTAGACCTAAAATATCCCCCTAAATCCCATGTCCTTGGTAGATAATTGGATAATGGAGGTGGCTATACTGTACTGTTAGGAGGCAGGGGGTCTGTACTGTTAGGATGGAGGTGGGTCCCTGGAGGAGGTGGCCCAGAGGGCACACTCTTGGCTGGCCTCCCTTCTCTGTTTCCTAGCCGCAGTGAGTTGAATAGCTTCCTCTCTGTCCTTCCTCTATACCATTGCTGCCTCAAAGTCAGCTGGCCATGAACTGAAAATGTGAGACAAAACAGTCATCTTTTCCTTAAAGTTTTAGGCATCAGATATTTTGTCCCTGCGACAGGAAAGAGACTGATGATTTCTCGTATCATTCAGAGTAAATGCCAACGTCTTTACAAAAATACACAAAGTCATACATTATCTTTCCTTGTTAGTTATTTTAATCTCCTGTTTTGTTTTTCTTCCTCATTCTGTATCAGTCCACTCTTCTCCTTGACACGTCAGGTCCATCTTACCCCAAAGCATTTGCACTGGCTTTTCCTTCTGCTCAGTATATTCCCCAACACACCGACAAGTTCAATTCCCTCACCGCTTTAAAAGTTTTTACTAAAACATCACCTTCTCAATAAAGCCCACTCTAACACTATGTGTAAAACTGTACCCTACTATTCCACCCACCATTTTTCATAATAATGACCTCCTAGGGTTCTAGATACCTACTTATTTTTACATAATCATTTATTATTTGTGTACTTCTGATACAATATAAACTTTCAAGATGATGTAGTATTATTTATTCTGTTAAGTAACATCTCTAACACATACAGTGGCTTCTGTCAAACACTAGTGATCAATAATTAATTATGGTCTAAAAGAATATATGAAATATAAAAGCTTCTCACCACCTCAAAGTACAATCAGATTAATCCAAGTTACACCATTACATGCCAAGATTATTGCAAGTGCTTTCTAAATGCTTTCTCTATTCCCTGTCACACCATGACCATTCTCAATAAATAAATCAGAATAATTCTTTTAAAACACAGGTCACATGATATCACTCCTCCATCCCAAACCTTGCAAAGCTCCCTCTGGCATTCAGTGTGTCTAAACGTAGCCTTGACCATCTCTCTGATCGCTGAATGGACTATACTGCCATGGCCACCCATTCACTGTTAATGAATTAATACAAATTAAATCAGTGCCTTAAACAGAAACCGTAAAATATGATTATATATTCACTGGCAGAAGAAAATGTGACCAGAAAATTGCAAAAATATAACCTGCATTTTCCTTAGGAGTAAATACACAGTATTTGTTCATTCAGTGTTTGTGATGACTTTATAAAATGTAATTGCCACAAATAAAAAGAATTACTTTTACATATATTAGGATCATATGAGTTGCACCATCTTCTTTCCAGGTAGACCCAATATGCAACAGAAATGAAGGTATGTTAATAAGAAGCAGATGTCCCTTGTCCACTTAAGCGAAGTAAATGGGGTGTTTTCATCTCACTCTCATGAATAGACAAAAACTTCCTGTACCATCTTGGAAGTTCTACATCAGAAGGTGAGAAAGCTGAAGCAGCGCTAAAAATTCCCCATGTACAAGAGCATGTTCCCAAAGGTCCTATCCACTAGGGAGTAAGTTTTGTTGGGTGCAGTATACCTACTTTTAAATTTGACCACTTTTTACCAATGAATTTGGCTAATCATCTCTCTGACCTCAGTTTCCTGTTCTATAAAGACTGGAGTAAGGTCTACTTTATAATGCTGTTGTGAAGCCTAAAAGGGGTTCACAGGAATGAATAACATAGAGATAGATACATATTAAGTGTTCAACATCTCCACTATTATATTATTATTACTATTATTGAAAATATTTGTTGAAATTTTGGATTTTGTCTCTAAAATGGTAAAACTGACAAGTTAAAAGAAATGAGATTTGAGTAAATATCCACGCACTTTCCCTGCATGACTCCTCTTTGTACATCACATTTTAGCTTCCAGAACTTCCATTTGGACGTGCCACCTGGCCCAAGCTTTGGTGTATAGGACTCTCCAAGACAAAGTGAAAGCTAACACTTGGGCTGAGAAGGCGATGAAGAGGGGAAGGAACAGCTCCCTCTCCTGAGGTCCTGCTAGGATGGAGTGTGCACTCAGTCTCTCCTCTCTGCTCCCCTTCCTCCAGTGTAGGGACCCTGGGACTATCTTTTAAGTGATTGCCTGAAATTTCCTTAGAAAACATACATACCTACTGGCAAATCCAGACACTAGATTGTGATCTTCATGATAATTTTGGTATGTCAGAGCTAGAGGGCTCTTAAATATTATTAAGGGATCTTAAATATTACACAGGACAAGATGATTAATTTTATGCAAACTTTACTTAGCTATGGCATACCCAGACATTTAATAAAACATTATTCTAGATGTGAAAATAGATTTGGATGAGATCATTATTTGAATCAGCGGACTGATTAACGCAGATTTCCCTCCTTAGTGCAGGGTCTCATCCAATTCACTGAAAGGACTGAATAGAACAAAACTGACTAAGAGATATCTCCTGAAAATCACTGTGAGTTTGAGGCCAGCCTGGTCTACCTTGTGAATCCAAGGCTAGCCTGAACTACATAGTGAGACCCTATCTCAAAAAACAAACAAAACGAAACAAAACAGGAATCTCCTGTTTCTTCACTGCTTGAATGTCAGGACACTGACTTTTCCCTGTGTTTGGACCTAAACTGTGTCTCCAGCTTGCTGCAAGTAGATACTTAGAACTGTCAGCCGCTGTGACCACACAAACTACCTCCTGGTAATAAGTGTCTTTCTTTCTCTGTGCCTCTGCCTGCCTGCCTCTCTCTCTCTCTCTCTCTCTCTCTCTCTCTCTCTCTCTCCCCCTCCCTCCCTCCCTCCCTCCCTTCCTCCCTCGCTCCCTCTCTCTCTGTGTCTCTGTCTTCCTTTCTCTCTCTGTCTCTGTCTCTTTGTGTCTCTGTCTCTGCCTGCCTCTCTCTCTCTCTTTTTCTCTCTCTCTCTGTCTCTCTCTCTCTCTCTCACACCCACACCCACACACACACACACACACACACACACACACACACACACACACACGTTGGTTCTGATTCTCTGGAAAACCAATACCCAGGGGTTGGAAAATGCCAGGCATATGTGAGACAGAAACTGGGACCCAACTGACTTTCTCATCACAGCTCTTTAGCAAGTGGACAGTAGCAGAGCTGGACTCAGGGCTAGTCCTCTCTACTTCTGCCCAGTGCTCCTTTCATTCCTTGGCAGGATTTTCCTAGATGACATGACTTTTCTGAAGCTATGCAGATCTTATGGACTCTCGGTGTGAAACAGGATGAAGGAGACATATATGTTAGAATCTGACTGCTAAGCCTTGAATTCAGGTTCTGCTATTTGCAAGCTGTGTGGTATTAGATATGTTACTTAACAGTGGCGGCCTAGATTTTCTCATCTGTAAAATGGGATGTAGTTATTCTGACCCCTAAATGATACTATTAGGTTTATTTGTAAAATATTTAATGTACTTTCTGGTGACAGTAATATTCAAGAAAAATTATGCATGGTACTTGTTAAAGCAATAAGGCAGACTTTATTCAGTACTATTAAAATACATTATAGGAGCTACTCTGATGGAGTTTGCAGTAGGGGAGAATGAAGATATTTAATTCTGAACATATTAAAGGGAAGTGAAAACTTATAATCAAGAAACATAGTAGGTAAGGGTCAGCTGATAGAAAATTAAGAGGAAAAAATCAGTATCAAGGGAGATCTTGGCTAAACCATCCAAGCAAGATTCTGAAGCCTGAACATAGGTCAGAGTGACCAGATACTATGTGTGACATGGTAGAGATAAAAAGCCTGGCTAGATATTGAGGATAGGGGGTTCTGTACACTAATAGGATTCTTGTTAAAATAAACTGATGCAAAGATGAACAGGAAAGTCCCAAATCTGAGGTCTAGTTGGGAAAATAACTCAGAGGCTCCTCGGTTTGGTCAGGGAGACACTCTATTAATAGACATTCATAAATATTAGCTTCTTACAAAATGATCGCTCAGATCAGCATCAGAATTTCTCTTAGAATATTTACCCAGCTTTATAGTACGAGTTTATTTAGAATCCCAGGCCAGGGTGATCAGACAGTAAAGCTGAAGGTTTGCATAGATACTCACCAAATCAACTATTCCAATGTTATTCCAGCCTTGCATTATTGGGAGAAAAGAGATGAACATGGGGATAACCCAGCAGCCTCCCAGCATCAGCGCGATACGCAGAGGGGTCATCTTATTCCTGTAAACCAAAGGCTGGCAGCAGATGGCATAGTACCTGGAGAGGCAGCAGAGTGGGCATGGCCACGGGCAAGGAGAAGCGGGAGGGAAGGAGAGGGAGGAGAGGAGGAAAGGAGAGAGAGGCAGAGGGAACCAGAGAATTGGAAATACGGAAAAGAGGAGGATATGCAAAGGCGTAAGCAAAATAAGGAAAGAAAGAGAGTAATAGGGAATGAGAGGAGAGCAGGCAGTAGAGGAAGGGAAAGAAAAGAAGAGACAAGAACAGAAGAAAGAAAAAAGTGAGTATCCTTCAATTAATATAAAAATATACTTCAGACAGCATCTAAAGGTTGCTTCCTGGAGTTGGCTCCCCAATCCGCCAGCTCCGGAGGGATCCTGACACACATGAGGGTCTTGTCTTTCTCAGCCACAGTTCTAATGCTCCCTCAAGCCTGGGTTTTGGGGAGCCTCTGTCCAGTCCTCTGGGCTGCAGTGTTAGGACACATGTAGCCCATTTGATTACAATTTGAGGTGCCCCGTGCTTTTTCTTGTCTCAGATTTGCTCCCTTCCTCTTGATCACCTGCCTGTACTGATGAAGGGAACATTCTACAGCTGTGCTGCTTAAATTGTCTCCTGCATCCTGGCTTCCCCATCCTGCATCAGATGTGGAGGCTTCTTTAAAATGTACCTCCTGAATCTGAGGCTGTTAGAATAGCTTGGAGTATGCATTTTGACCCGTAGGAGTCCCTGCTACTGTTTAGTAAAGAATGTCCAGTTTCCCAAGGTAAGGACACTGTCCTTCCTGGCCTCCTCCAATTGAATGGGACCAAGACACTGGTGTGGACCAATGAACAGAATTCATATGCATTACTTCTGAGACCGACTATTTAACTTTCTGTTGCTATGATGCCAAGAATGTAAAATTCCAAATATTTCTTCCTCCATCATCTTCTATCTATTCTTTGAGAGCACCCCACCTTACTTATCAGGCAAGACCTCCCTCATGAGGCTCGCTTCTCATCGTTTGTGAGTCAGTGTTTTGCTTATGGTACTAACTCTTTCCCCCTCCATGTAGGGGATACAACTTGCCCCACAAACAGCTGAGTTTCTTAGTCCTGGACTGTTCCTATGCCATCTCAGCCTTGAGGCTCGCCCTTTCTGTGCCCAGGCATGGCATGGCATTTGACAAAAAGCAAAATGCCACACCGTGTGTATCATCTACTTCTCTTCAAAAAAGTCAAAAACGAAGTACAGAAAAGACAAGCTGGAGACTAAGTTTCTTCGTTAAGATTTTTATACTATTTAAACAAGCCACCCCCTTACACCCTTAATTTTATGCAGTTCACTTTGTTAATTTTCCCCACCTCTTCTTTTCTTTTCTTTTCTTAATTCAGAGCATACGTTGTGTAACAATGGCTATGTTCTTTGAAAAGGTGGTGTTAGGAAAGGTGAGGAGACAGGGTGGAATCAGAGGGAGGCCCACGTTGGAGCGTGAGAACCGAATGCCTCAGGAGCGGGAAGGGAGGAGAACACCCTTCCCCCTGAGGCTGGAGGAACAGCTGGCCGCATGGCACGGAACCTCCAGTGGTTAGCAAGTCTCTGAAGTGGGCTGCTCTGGGCCAGAGCATAGGAGCAAAAGACCAGAGAATGAGAGAGGGGCTTGCTTGGGAGACCGTATTTCTCCACTATAAAGCTAACATAGTCACCAAATTTAACTAAACATAACTCAGTCAGACTATGTCATGGGCTCTGTGTGGTGGACAGAGGTGCAGAGAGGAAAGCCAGGAGAAGTCCTTTAACTCTAGCAGCAGCCTTCTCCCAAGTCTGGGGTTTTGGTCTTGTTCCCTGAACCTGGAGGCACCAGTGTTCTTGCTTCTTCATATCTCCACTGTTTTCTTCTTTTTCAGTTAAATAAGTCACCTCATGTCTTTACAATAAATTCTATTTCGTTTAAATTGGTGTTACAGGTTTAGCTATGCTTTCCCTGCTCTCAAAATTACGTTGAAGTCTTAACCCTCACTATCTTGGAGTGTGGGCTTCTTAGGAAGTAGAATCTGCACAAAGACGGTCAGTTGTTTTTAAAATAAGTCATTAGGGTAAGCTCTAATTCAATATGTTTGACAGCTTCACAAAAACAAATCCAAAGCTCAAACAAGGAAGAACATGATAAAGATAAGAACAGAGATCAGTGAAATTGAGACAAAAATTAATAAATAAAAACTCCAATACAAAGAATAAAGACTTGGTGATGTGATTCTTCGGAAAAATAATCAAAATAGACAATCTCTTAGTCAATCAAATAAATAAATAAATAAGAGAACAATACCCAAATCAATGCAATTAGAAATGAGAATGATGAAATCACAGCGGGCACTGCTGAAATATGAGGGTTATTAACAGCTGTTTCACAAATCTGTACACCAATAAATTGAAGAATTCAGGAGAAATGGATATTTCTAGATACATATGAATTACCAAAATGGAACCTGAAAGATAAAAACCCTGAATAATCTAATAACAGGCCATGAAATTGAAGAAGCAATAAAAATCCTACCAACTCAGAAAAGTACAGATGGGTTCACTCCTAAATTGCACAAAACTTTCAGGGAATATCTACCACGAGTACTTCTCAAGCTCTTCAATGAAACTAAGGGAAAGAGGACGCCCACAGTCATTTCTAGATTACAATTTCCTTGAATCCAAACAAACAAGAAAACTGTAGCCTAATCTCTTTAACAAATATAGTTGTGAAAATCTCCAACAAGATACTGGCAAACCAAATGCAACAAATTGTCACAAAGTTCACACACACATCATGACTAAGTAGGCTTTATCCTACAGAAAAGGATGTTTCAACATAAGTGAAATAAATCAGGCACACAAGTTTAAATATAGGATGATTTCTTCTATATTAGAAATCTAAATTATAAAATAAAGAGCAAAATAAAAGATAGTTAATAGTAAGTAGGGAGCTAGGTATTTCTCAAATGAGAAGAGGATCAAGAGACAGAGGAAGGGAATGGAGGGAAAGGGAATGGAAAAGGAATTCAGATGCGTTATGTACATGTGCAAACTCCACACAAGAAATGCAAACATTATGCACTGCAAACATGTACTAACAAAACAAAAAGAACAAGTTGATGCAGAGACTGCAGTCCTAAAGGCAGTTCTTAGAGCTTGCAACAAAGTATCCTGCCTCAAACAGGGAAAGAAGAAGGGTTCCTGGTACCAGACAAGGTTATCATAAATGCACTTCATTCTAAATGTATCTTAATTTGTTCAATACAGTCTCAGGTCATAGCTGAGTGTAGTACCTCCATCCACCACCCCAAGAAGGCAACAGAGGCCTAAGTGAAAAACAGGCACTGCCATTGCCTTTTCCTTGTTTATAATTTATGATTTGTGAGGCTTCAAGCCGGGTGCCAAGAAATTGAGTAAAGAGCAGATTTCAGAAATGATGATTGGATCTCCGGTGTTACACAGATCCAAAGCTTCAAAAGGACAGGGTCTCCGGGTGTGGTGGTGCACACTTGTAATGACAACACCACAGGAGATTAAGGTAAGATCAAAATTCCAAGCCTATCCCCAGCAACTTAGCAACTTAGCGGGACCCTATCTCAAAATAAAAATTAAAAAAAGTTGGGGATGCAACTGAGTGTGAGGGCTGATTTCAACAGGATGTTCATGTTTATGGGATTATCTTGGGGCTATAAGGTAATCTATAGAGGAGGACTTTAGAAGATACTGTTATGCTTGTGTTGGTGAGTTTTTTGTAAAACTTTAATTTCTAAATCTAGTTTGACCAAGGATATTGTCAGGTGCCCATGACCTGGCAAATTTATCAAATCCTGCAGTCCAAATGCTCTCTGCATCAATTTGCTCTAGATTACTCTGCTGCTTCAGAGAAGTACATAGTGGTAACATGTATTCAACTTTGAGGGGGATCCTGCACATTTTACCAAATCTTTGATATTTTACATATATAGTCGGTCCTCTGGACAATGAATTCCTGGAGTAAAGCTGCCTAATCAGCTCCTATCACAACAGGACTAAGGGGAGGGCCAGCGGCTGCTAGTTCAGGGACAGTAGTAGTAAGTTATATTTGAGTAATCTGGAATAGTTGAAAAAGTTCGCAAAAATCCTTTCTCCTCTTTAAAACTTAGCTCTAAAGAAAAGGGGATATTTTATTTAAATTTAAATTAGGTTGTCCAAATTATGCGCACTTGGTTATGATAAATAAAAATATGTAATTCTGTCTAGATATAGATCTTATTTAAATTTTATATCTTCTTCAATCTGTTGCCCTGTCTTACACTGAATATATGATTATGGAATGGAATAGGAAACATTAAATCCTTATCTGAAGCTCCAATTACAGCATCCACTTAAAGGCTCAAAATTCTTACTAAGGATTTAGCATTCTCGAGGCAGCAACCCTAAATAAGTCACCTCATATCTTTCAAAATCTTTCTTTAATTTTTGCTTTCAAGTAAAGTATACAGAAAGGTCAATATCCAGCTGAAGGTTTCACTCAAGAATCTAAATTAAAGTAGGTGGGAATAAATATCACTGAATAAAAAGGTTATTAAAATTTAGTTATAGGATTAACTAAGCAAGTTTGCTTAAAATTCTAGTATTTGTCTATAGAAAAGGGACTAAATAGAAATCTGATAACTATTTTTATACATTTTGGTTTCTTTTTAATTTCTATATTTGGATAATATTGACCTTGTTATTAACAAAAGATCATCCTGCAGTATGTACACAACACCACTAGACACAAGTTGACAATCAGTTTTGCAAGTTTTAGGTAATCAGTCAAAGAACACTGGCCAAGTTAGTAATAATAGCTATTGTTTATTTGCCTACCAAAGTATAACCTGTAGTTCTCATTCAATCAATTATTGGAAAGGAACAGAAATACACCCATTTCACAGATGAAAAAATAGAAATGCAGAAGGATCTAAAAGCCACATAAGAAGCAAAATATAAACATGCTTCAAGTCTCAGGACTTGAATGCTCAGAATCATGAAAACTCCAGTTTAAAAAAAAAGCA